TTTATTCTATTCTGAAAGATGGTAATCGCCGTAGCCAACCCAACAGTTATAAGGCGAGGATAAGAGAGAGATAAAAAAATTGGTTGTATGAAAAATGACTAGATTCAAAAGTCCCGCGCTTTTTTCGAGCATGAGTAATGCGAAATTGTTGAATAACAAGAAAGGTAGATTGTCAGTTTTTTAAATAGTAAATAAAACATATTTTCATAAAAAGAAAATATATTTTTAACTCAAAACGAATCGGCAAATAGCAAGAATCACGACTAAACTAGTTAAACTGGCAAGTTAGCTGTGTCCTCATTCGGGCAATCAAAGTATGTTTCTAACGGTGCTCCTAATCCATTACTTTGGGAACAAAATTTATCCATTTGAGTTGTACACTGGATGCTTTTATAAGGAATAATTTGCTTTTCAGTTTTTATAAAAATATTTCGCTCAAATCCACTCAGTGAATTACACTCGTCCAGTTCAATTGGTAGTTATAATATAGCGACGTTTTCTTGAAAAATAAATTCGTCAACTCTAATTCAAAACTGCAATCGACCGATGCCAACGCGACGGTTCGATTTGATCCAAAACAAACCCTTAGGTATTATCTAAATGGCCTATTTACAACGGTATTGGGTTAACTTCTTATTCTTGGCTCGATTTACGATACTGGCTGTTTTCTTTTCTATGTACTAGTTTATACCATGTCGACCAATTATTTAATATGGGGTAAATATAAATATTCTCCGTAAACTCGATAAAAAACGGAAACAAGAAATTATTTAAATATTTTGCTTGATAAGCATAAGGTTGTAAATTCCATCTTGCTTATGAATATTTATTTGTTGCCTTAGACACTTTTCTTTTAATTTCGCAATGTAAAATTGGTCATATACAATTTATAATCATTTGCATTAATCTTGGAGCGTTTCAATTTGCATTTAAGGTATTTAAATCGTTCTGCAAAATTTGAAATACTTTTCAAATTTTTTGCGACTTCAAAATGTGCGAATTTTTGTTATTTTTCAGGGTTCCGGACCTTGTCCGAGGTTGCAAATTTACCAGATTGTTAAGAAAGATATTAGCATCTGCAACCACTTTTCAAAACTTTTGCATATTTTTTTAAAAAAATTAGAGAAAAATTAAAAATTATTTTAATATTTTTACAAAAAAAAAGATTTCCGTGCAAAATAAAAGGTTACAAATTGGAATTGCTAATTCAAAAACTTGTATGAGTTATATCATCGGTTTGCAGCACTTTTGGATTTTTTTCTTCTATGATATAAACAAAAACGGATATTTTACAAAAAAATTAAGTTCTAGACTTTCAAAAAAGTTGCAAATCTGTTGAAAATAATACAATGTATATTGCTTTAAGTTTGCAGCACTTTTGCAATTTTTTCTCAACATTATAAACAAAAGAGCTATTTTGCTGTAAACTAACTAGTTCCGCACCTTGGAAATGGTTGCAAATCTAAACTTAGTGTTATTTAATAAACTAGCCGATTATTATTACAAAGTTTAAAAACTTTGGTAATTAATGTGAAGTATTCAAAATAGGATGACTTCATTGACTGGACTATATCGAAAACCATAACATTTTTGTAGGTATAAGAATTATTTTTATTTAGTTCCTATCATCCAAAAATGAAATAAAGTTAAGGTAGTAAAGGTACAACAATTCTGGCTAACACCTAATGTAAATTAACATGGGAAATCGCTAAGGTTCATTTGGTCAATTTGTATTCATATCGTCACTAGTCGAGGAACGAAATCGGGCTTATCAGTAAAGATGATAATTGTCGGCTCGCGGTTTGGATTTGCATGGGAGAAACGACACTATGAAGAAGACGTCACGTAGAATAACGTTGGAAAGAAAAATCATGCACAGTAACAATGTCATAAGGGCATTAGTTAACTTCTCAGCTATCGGATTTTGATGTGCGAGGTGTCGTAAGATTCGTTATGACGTAAAGACTTATGTGGGGGCGTATTAGAAAGTTGGGTTGTTCTTCCGACTCAAGATGGCCAGCGTCCAAGAATAAATCACGTGATCCTGGCGTATGGCGGCTTGTCGGACATAATTTTTGTTGTAAGTTTGATGTTTATATCCTAATTGTCAGGTTGATCGAGTGGTCTAAGGCATTAATATTAATCATCCAGATCTCTAAGCGGATATCAGATTTCTGTTATTTTCGAATCGAATGGGACAATCGGCATTCAGCGTAAACTGTCATTTAGCTGTCATTTCCAGTGAAAAAGTAGATGCAATGGCAAAGATAAGAGATCTGCTTTATAGGTCCGGATCGAATGGGACAAACGGCATTCAACGTAAACTGTCATTGTCAATGAAAAACATGATTGTCAAAAGGATCAGGCAAATGGACAAGGCGTTTTCTAATATTCATCGATGCCACCTATTAATTATCAAAACTGTATCTTTTATTCAGTAAATTTTTTTAGATGAGTCATACATCAAATTCTTAAATTCAACCTAATTCTCAGATGGTTGTCACCAAATCCTTCGAGTCGATTATGTTGATGCACTGATGGATCACAAGAGATAACCTTAAATTATTAATTATTATTAAACAGAAAAGAAAATAGGAAAAGTTCGCTCAAAATTCTCAATAATATGAATAAAGAAACTCACTGCGTTTTATTAAACCAACCTCAAGGCTAACTTTTAAAATAAAATTGTCAGCTTTAGATATACAGCAAGCAAATGAAGGCAAGTATATATTTTTTCAATTATTGTATTATCCATACTTGTTTTTAGTTTTTATGCTCATCAAAAAGTGTTCGAATTGTTTGTTTTTATTAAATAAAGACCGTTTGACAGTTAAGATTACAAAATCACAAATGTCAGTCATTCTTAAATAATTTTCATCGCATAAAAATCAGGATTGCAGCATTCGGCCATTTATTGGTCACGTGATCCATCATCAGTACATCATTTTGTTAAATATTATAAAACTCCCACAGACAGATGGACAAATAGATGACGTATTAATGTCAAAAGGACATAGGTTAATATTTAATGAACAAGACAAACTTATTTTTGTTATCTAACCTAACAACTTCAGAGCATCGCCAACCTAATAACTAAAGACGTATCAGCAGCGCCATCAAGCCTAAGTTTGTTACTATTTAGTGAACGAGACGAACTCATTGTTATCTAACCTAATTTTAAACTTAATGTTTATTAAATGAAGGAAAAAACGGCTCATTTTAAACTTTTGTATACTGTATATGTAAGGTGAGAGAGAGAAAGAGGGTGGGTTGCTCCATATCACTTAGACCTCATTAGACCCATTATGCATCCTCAAGGGGCATACATGACCTGTCTCTTAACTGGTAAAAAACATACTGGTTGTTGCCAAGATATCTAAAGCCAGCCTCTAAGGTCAAAACCCTGCCGAGAGATGTCTCCAGATGCCCCATTTTGCAAAATGGTCATTTGGTGGGCCACTACCACCTCGATGGTAAATGTCTGAGTGAATCCATTCAGTTCACTCGCTCCATATGGCACTGTGAATATAACTATAATTGTCAGTACAAATATTCGATCTGTGATATTGAATTTTAATTTGTCAACCGCTTCCCCGTAAACATACTATAAACAATGACATTTTTCTGACTAACAAGTCGAAAAAATATCGATTTTCTGAGTTCTAATACAGAATAATCTTTTATTCGGAGTTTTAAGTAGTGTCATGAAAATTCCTAAGCCGTCTCTGTCTAAACTCTAAAGCGAGCGACCTTGGAAGTCCGCCACTCGATTCATGATCGAAGCAACGCTGACGTGTGAAGACAGTCGCACCGCAACTCGAATATACAAGAAACGACGGAATCTCTAGGTATGCCGCTGACGCTGCCGTTGAGTCATAGAGATGGAATTTTCGGGAGCATCTGGAAACTAAGGGCACAGAATTGGCTTGGTATAAATAGCCGACCTATCGGCGCACAGTTTAGTTTAGAACATTGTAATGAAAAGTTAAAGTGTAATAAATAAATTAGAATTGTTAGTTAGTGACTAAGTATTATATAAATTAATTAGTACGTCTGAAATAAATTGTAAATAGTGTTTTAAATAAATAAATAAATAAATTAGACTATCGTTACAGTAGGAAAAGCCGGAGAGGCTAGCCGCGAGCTTAGTGTGCATCCACTTACTCGCAACAGTTAAGCAGTGATCTCTCCGGTCACGTCGTGGATGGGTGACTGCTGGGAGGTTCCACCATGGGATTCATACAACTAGCGTTTAACCATCGACGACGTGGAATGAATGAATGAGGGTGTGAATGGGAAAGTAGTAGGACCTTCAAATGGTGGTACCATAAGCCGCAGGCTGCAGTGCTGCCAGACTACAGACGGATTAGGGTGTAGCACGGGAGGTCTGAAGGATGTAAAACTAAAAAAAAAACTTCTAAACTTCTAAATTTAAATAATCGTTTACCATGCAGAAGAAAATATTAAATTGAAAGGAATACACTTCCCTTTTTAATAGATATGTCCATGAACTTATTTTTAATCAGAGTAAAGTCGGTTGTACGAATCAGTTGACACAAAAATGTCTGTAATTTTATCTTAGATTCAAAAAAACCGCGTTTAAGCTTTATCTCGAATTTCAATAAAAAAGTAAATGAAACTACTTTGAATTACACATTACATGACCGCTGCCTCCACTCGGACACAGTATAGCTTGTTCACCCCCTCCCTTGCACCCCGCTCTAAAGAGCTGGCAAAAAAAGGTGACATGCCTCTTTTCGCAGTCAGATAATAAGGGACTAGTTAATTTTTAGCTTTATAACCAGAAAAACGAATAATAACATAAAAAATAAATTAATTTAAAAAATATTTATGAATTAAATCAACAATCAATCAAAAAATATTTTTAATAAATATATTCAGTTAAAGCTGACAAAAATTGTTTTTAAGAACAACTAAAAAAATCGTCTATTTTAGGTACTTTCCAAATAGAACCAATCCAGTAATTATAAGAATATTCCTATAAAAAAGATCATTCGTCGATTTATAATCTGCATAAAAAATAAATAAAAAAAGACTTGTATAAAAATTTTAACACTCCATTAAAAAATCAATCAATGTATAAAAGAAATCCACACAACATGAGATGAAAAGTTATTTACTGGTTGGTTCCAATGCAAAAAAACATTGGTTTTATAAATCGTCTAGATTAACAGCTTCAACAGCAGGTGTGATTTGGTCCATTGGTGTTTTCTGTGGCCTTTGTGTTTCAACCGGCGTACCCAGTTTGGACCAGCTTCCAGGTTCAGCCTTTTTCATTTTAATTTCCACTTTTGTCCCGTACATAGTTATTTGCGACGCATCAACATCTACAACCTAAATAAAATAGCCATATTTAATTTTTACAATTTTAAAATAATAAAAAATAAAAATAAACATTCAAAAGGTTACAGATTAAGTCCTACTCTATTTGTATAGTATTATTTTCAAATACAATTTGTGACTTATCTTGTCTATTTAAAAAAAAAAAAAACTTAAAGAGCTGAATAAATAACCTAGAGTAACTGAAAGGAAAAATAATGCTTTTGAAATAAATGCATTAACGAAAACAAAAACAAGAACATCAGTTACTCTCAAATAATTTGGTAGACAATTCAGAATCATATTCCAACAGTCATGAGTAATAATTAAACAAAATAAAAGGTATAAAATAAAATATCCAGTCAGACAACATCAGTTAAAATAAATAAAAGACAAATTAACAATTTAAAGGAAAAAGTTACATGAAATGAAATAAATCAATTAAAATGAATCATTAAAGAACTCGGCAAGTAGTAAGTTTTTCTCAGCTAGTAGATTCTTCAGTTATCTTCAAAAGGCATTATCATATGTCTGTCTTAATCCCAATGGCAAATGATTTTTTTCTCATTATGTACTAATTATATACTAATAATGCAGGCAACGAAAAGGTATACAGGGAAATATTTAGAACACAATTGTTGACTTCATAACTTTGTTTGGACTAGTTAAGAGGTGAATATATCAAAAGTTCCCGCCCGTAGCTTATATCTCGGAAGCTATGCATCCTAGAGATATGACCATTCAATATACAATGAAAGCTTATTAAATTTGCTAGAAGTTTTATTCGGTCAAGTTTTTCGATAACTTGTAGAGTTTTCGATATATCAGCTCTTGAAAGTCTTTAATTTTGAAAAAAAAAAAAAAAACATTTCTGCTTCATATATTTTGCTCTTTTTGACCAAGTAACTTTTTAACAAAGTAATTTCGACTATAATAATAATCTTGGTAGGATTCCCCACTCGACCATTCACGGTTGGGTTCTAATTAACAGTGCTGTTCCTAAAGTGGCGCTGGGAAACAGTAACAAAGCATACATAGAACACGAGGCTAATAACCTTAGCAGTTGATGCCGATGACACAAAAAAAATCTTTATTTCCAAAAATGATGTTGACTATGTATAAACATAAATAACATTATAGTTAAATGGCGTCACAAATTTACTATCTAATGATGACTTAATTAAAGTTATAATTTAAGTATTTCGACATGCTATAAGGCTCCATGCCAATCAATAATTCTCGTATGCGGTTTTTTAAAACATTTAATACTGTTAATGGTTTTTATGTTCTTTGGTAATGCATTATACAATTTTATGCACATGTAATGAGAATTTTTCTCTGTTAACGTGAGTCGGTGATATGGATACATGAGTTCCCTGCTTCTTGTATTGTAAACTGGTTTTTGTATTACAAAATTTCTTGTAACTTCTGAGCTTCCGCCTTAAAACAATATGCCATATTTACATACCCCTTCAAAACTACCCGAGTAAATTATTTTGACAGTTTTTTTATGCAAATATTTACTAGTGATTTGAAACCCATATGCTAACCTACTTAACTTAATAGAAAGGTTATGTATGTGATTCAACCAGCTAAAATATTCTTCCAGATGGACTCCAAGAAATTTAGTGCTATTTCTTAAATCCAGCTCTTGATTGCACAAGGAAACATTATTTGGTCTATTTGCCTATATTTGGAACTGAATAATATTAATTGAGTTTTCTCTGCATTCAGTTCCAGCTTGTTTTGTGAAAACCATTCCTTTGTTCCTTGTAAAAGTGAATTACCATTGATCACTGCCTTTGGTATTGTTTCCCTTCCCACTAGTAGGTTGGAGTCATCTACATAATTTGTTATTATTTATAGTGGTCCCCTAATGCATCCTTATGGAATCCCTACTGTGGTATTAATTTTTCCCGATTGAAAGTGCTTTCCCTTATTCGTAATGCTGACTGTCTGTTCCCGATTTGCTAAAAATTATACAATCAATTTTAGTGCAGGCCCTCTAATTCCATATTTTTTTTAATTTAATTTTTAAGTAATCATGATTTAAACAGTCATAAGCCTTCGCTCAATCTAAAAAGATATCCAGTGAATATTGTTTACTCTCTAAAAAATGTATATATAGTTGTGAATTCAAATAATGCTGTTTGTGTAGATCTCCCTGAAATATACCTATGCTGGAAATTATTAAATAACTTTTTTTCCTTTATGAAACTTGTGATTTTTGACACCATTACTAATTCAAAAACTATAGAGAAAGCGGGTAGCAAACTAATGGGTCTGTAATTTTCAAGTAACTCTGGATCACCTTTATTTTTAAAAATAGGGGTTACCATTGATGTCTTTAATTGTTTGGGGAAAATACCCTATTTTAAAGAATTATTAATTATGTGTCAAAATATCTTTTATTACAGGTAGACTACGTTTCATTATACTTTCTGGGATTCCATCATCCCCACTACTGAGTTTATTTTTTATTTTGGTTGAAAGTTCCATTATTTCTGATGGTGTAAGGTTTTAAGAAAATTGACTTATTATTTTCTGGGATGCTACATATGTACGGAACCTCTGGAAGTTTATCTAAGAGTTCTGGAACTATTTTTGATAAAAAAATATTGTAATTGTTTGAGATTTCATGAGGACCGCCATGTAATACAATATTTTCTTTGTCATTCTTTCCAGTAATTTCTTTACATATGCCCCATAAACATTTAGTTTTATTGTCAGATAATCGTATTCTTTTTCAAAACCATCTTTTTTATTCATCTGTAGTAATTCATCATAATTTTTCTTTATTAATTTGTATGGAACCTTATACATGTCATTGTTCCTAGCTAAAATTAGTACTATATCAAGCTGGTTTTTTATATTAATAATATTTTGTGTTAGCTGATATTTTTTGGAAGTTTTCCTTATAGTTACATAATTTAATGGAAATTTTTTAATAAACTGCTCTAAATATATATTAATGAATAAGTCCCATTGTTTTTCTATTTGCATACTGTTTACATTGACTCTCTTTCCAGTTAGTCTTGTTTAGCTCTAAGAGGAATTTTTGTATGTTTTCCTCTGTAAAATATCTACGATAAGTATGATAAACTGTATTGACATTATCACTTAACTGAACTTTTATTACCTGAGCAGTATGATCCGAACAATGTAATTCTACCAATGTTGAGTAATTACCCTTAGTTTGCTAAAATATTATCTAAGCAACTTTTTCTGTTTATTGTGATACGCGTCGGTTCGTTTATTAATATTTTAAAGTTAAATGAATCAAGTAAACTTACAAAATCCTTTTTCTGGGATATATTTGTCTTCCATTAAATTTATGTTAAAGTCGCCTAAAATAAACACTAATTTATTATAACTATAAACATATGTTAAAAGCTGTTCAAGATTATTTAAAAACTCATAAAAGTCCTTATTTCCAGGCCTGTAAACTGCAATGGCAAGCACTTGGTCTCTTTCTATAAAACATTTACTTGCTGCTACTTCAAATTCTTCACTAATTGACAATTCAGTTATTCTTTTTATTTCTTTAAATTTTAGTCCTTTTTGACAATAAATTGCTGCTCCTCCATGTTTATTTTCTTCCCGACAGAAAGCTGATGCTAGATTATATTTTTTTATACCTATTTCCTGTAATTGTTCCATAGATTTCCAGTGTTCTGTAATTGCTAAGATTTTAAATTCATGTTCATTTACAAAAACTTCTAGTTTGTCAACTGCATTTCCCAAAGACTGTACATTCTGGTGAAAAATTTTCGTTTCACCCCCTTTACTTTTTTATAATTTTTTGCCTTTGTTGCTTTTTTCTCCAGTAGCTAGGTTTTCTTTAATTGTTGTACCTATAGAAAATCCGCTTGTCTATTAATTATCTTGGTATTCTTTAAATTTCTGAAAATCAAATCTTTTAAAACCAACACTTTTTGGCCATGCCGTTGGTTTGTATATTTCTTCCTTGAAGCTGAAATCGATACCAAACATGAAACATTTTGTTTGGTTCTCCTTAGTTGGTAATTCTTGATCTCTATATTTGCCTCTTTGAAATGTGATTCTTTATGTAATTTTTTATATCGTCTTCTGTAATATTTCTTTTAATTCTAAATAAATACAGCCATACCTTATTTTCCACTGCGAAATCTTTGCTTTCTGATTTTCCTTCTCCCACTAGTTTTTCCTTTTCATTTCGTCTTCTAAATTTCCTGTTGGTCACTATTTTGTATCTTTCATCTTTCCTGTCTTCATTTATATTTATAATTTCATTTGCCTTCATCCTTTGTTCCTCTCCTAAATTTGTTTTTCTTTCAAGACTCACTTTTATTGTTGGATTTATCATTGTTGAATTAACCTGTATTTTGCCGTTATTTGGTTTATTGGTTCCTGACCAAGGTTGTTCTGTGTTTATCTTTACTTTATCGGCGTAGTTTTTGTTTGGTAGATAATGTGTTTGTGTTTCGTTTTTTGCAATCTATCAACCTTTTCTTGTAATAATTGTTTGTTTTCCTGTAGTAGACTAATATTATTTTCTAAAATTCTTTGTTTGCTTTCTGCCTCGGATAAGAGTTTCTTTAGCATATTATTTTCCCATACTAATTTCTGAATATTTATTTCTTCATTTTGTAAAAAAGGTTCTTTAACATTTTTACATAATTATTTTCACATATAATATCACAATTTTTAGGAATTTTTAATAGCAATTCATCTAACTTTTCATTGAATACAGTAATGCTAGTTTTCGGAGATCTATAAAAAATACATATGATGTTTATATTTATTTTATTAATAAAACATACTGAAAATTCAAATTGTTTTTCTTCAAGTAATTCGTCAAATTTTAGAGTATCAAATTTTAGGTTATCTAATATTGATTCATGGACCAAAATAGCAGTACCCCCATAGCCAAATATTTTTTTAACAAATAAAGAAATAATTGATTAATTAGGTATATATAAATATTCGTTTTCTTCCAACCAGTGTTCAGTTAACAATAAAATTTTGGGATATTTGTTTAGCTCTATTATTAAAAGTAGCTCGTTAACTTTATTCCTAACTTAGTGAATATTTAGTATTTCTTTTAGATTTATATCTATTACTTTTTAAGGCTGCCCTTGAAAATTTTCGTCATTATTATTACTTGTATTTGATACTTTAAACGAATACTAAATTGCTGTTTTTCTTATTTTGGTTACTATTCATATTATTTATAATTTTTTGTACTATTTTCTATTTTTTTAATCAAAATCTATTTAAGTCATTACATTCTAGATAAGAAATAGTCCATTCAACATAAAAATTAAATTTATTTACATAGTCATTTAGTGTTGTTAAATTTTAAGATGGAGTTATTGTACTTCCATGCAGCCGATTCATAGAGTACAGAAGCCAACATGATGTTTGTATGTGTACAGTGCTTGATCTTAGAATTAATTGCCCTGAAAGATGGATATTTTAATTTAAGAAAATCATTCTTTCTGCCCACAATTATATTATCATTTACCATAAAGTCATTTGATAAATTAACTATATCTGTGATTATGTCATTTGGCTTTATAATAGTTTGAATTTGAGCATCAGGGAAATTAAATTTCAAATGTGTTCCCAATTTACTTCCACTTTGATCAGTGCAGTATAACGTGAAAAATTTACAAATTACTCCAGTATCCAGTAAATTGATTATTCAACACACGTTAAATAAAAATTTACATTTAATATAGTTGAAATTTACGAATAGGTAGCATTTTCGAAAAAAGGATGACCTAAATATGTTATATTTACCTACAGGTAAATTTTTGATAAAACTAAAAGTTATTAATTCTTTAAATAGATAAAGTTAACTATCATGTCGTAAACTTTAAGATAATTCAACTCAGTCAAAAGCTATTTCTAAAATACGTAGATTTTCATAGTCGCATTAACTTTTAAGTCAAATTAGCCCAATGCGCCATATTTTCTTAACATAATTGAAGTACGATTCCAAAATTCAAATATGTTTAAATCTAATTTTGCGAACAAATTTATTATATATATTTTAGGTAGTATCGATATCAAACTAAAATGTTTGCTGGGTAGGGGCTGTGCTGTCCTCTTTGGCATTTGTTATTTAAATATTTACTTTTTGCAGCGGTAAACTAGATGCTGCAAGTCTGATTTCTAACCAGAATCTAATTCTAATTGGTTGAATGATTTAATATCCACCATTGAATTATGTCACCATCTCCTTCAGCATTACCAACTTTAAATAATTTACACCCTTTCTCTATTTTACTTGAACATTCCTTGAGGGCCAAGTGTGATGGAACATTTAAAATCTGAAATATTTTGAGAGAATTTCTTTCAATGTTATTTTTAAGCAAACTGCACACTCCAAGAAAGATACATTTATATAATTATATAATTTGCTATTTATAGAAAGACAAACATTAAGTAGGGACCTGATGTTTTATGAACAACTGTTGGACACCTGTTGTAAGATAAAAATTTTACATGAAATTGTAAATTAATTTGATTTTGTCTATGTGTAGTATGGGAAATTTGATTAAACAGTTTGTTTTTTTGCAACGTGGACATATAAAATTTATTTCAATAGATACAGTTTTTCCACTCAAAAATGTATTCCCTTGTTTTGAATCTCAAAATACTTTATTAATTTATAGAAGTAAAAAAGAAAATATAATTTCGTAATTAGGTATTCTGCTGTTGCAGGAAAAAAGCGCAAAAAGGCAGCCAAAAGTTGAAGGTGCAATAAAATCGCAAAACAAAGATGCAAAGTAAAACTAGGTAAACATATACAGTTACCATTGCTAGTAGTAGAAGTTGTTGTTTTCTTAGAATCGTTGAACCTACTCATTATTTCATGAACTTCTTTTAATCTTTTTAACCTAAGGTGTCAGATTTTCAGGATTTCTAACTAGTTTATAATGCTGAAATATTTTTTATACTTACTCCTTTTAATTCAACATCAAGAAGAAACGAATTTGAATGTTGAGGAAAGATTAATTTGGCTTGCAGCCTAACGGGACTTAATCTTACTACACTTTCCTTGGGACAGTAATTTTTTGCATATATTGAAACTACCACATGCGATCCAGTTTGGTGAAAGTCCCATCTACAATGGACAGTTTTCTCATCTACCTGCAAAATCATTTTTAAAATGAGTTTTTTAAATTAGAATCTAATAGAAAATTAGCCAAATTTTAAAAAATATAATAAAAATTTCAAGTGATTTTAAAAAATATGTCCGATTCAATCAGCAACTGACACACACACACACACACACACACAAACCGATTTTACTGCTTCCAAAGCTGACGTCTAAAAGTCATAAACTGATTATTATTTTAATCTATTTTTAATAGTTATTTATGCAACAAGTGCAAAAAGTAAGTGTTTATTGCACGCGACGTGAAATTGTCGAGGCCGTCAGGCCGAGTTGGACGCAGCAAGGCATAAATATGATTGGTGCAGAGAACAATAATGTGTTGAGCCCAATAAAGAGACCTTTTTTATTGATAAAGCTGGTGGTTCTCTTTCAACAACAATAGTATGATTTTGTTTAACATCTAAGACTTTAGCAGGAGCATATGGTCTTTTCTACGAGTCAAATTTCCAGGTAGATTTGTTTAATATTTCCTTTTTTAGAATTTATGACCAAGAAAATGTAGATGAGAAATTATCATACCTTGTTAACTTTTTAAATGATCTTTTTAATAGAAATAAAGTGCTAACAGGATTTAAGAAATATAAATCACAGCGACACTTAGATTTTTATAGACAGATGCGTAATCTTACTAATCAAGCTATTCAAAGAGAGAAGAAAGCATATTTTATTCACCAATTTAAAAATACTTCTTCCACAGAAATGTGGAGAACACTGAAAGCTAATAAATTTATCCCTGATAAAAATAATAGCATCCTTCAAAATTTACATAACTGAGTTAAATTATAGAATCAATTCCAAATAAAAAACCAAATGATAATTTACTCGAATTTTATAATAATACTAATAAAATAGTTGATCAGACTTTCAAGTTTATAAAAATAAATGATTTGTTTGTGTATAAAGTTATATCTGAAATTAAAACAAACACGAGAGGATGTGACGACATAAACATACAACTTATTAGACTTTGATGTCCTCACATTGTGCCTTACATTACCCATATAATAAATTTTTGCTTGACAGAAAACGTTTTTCCAGCAATGTGAGGGTATTGCCTAAAAACGAAACTTGACCGAAATGAAAGGTCCAAATTAAAGAATATACTGAATGCTTTTCTTTATTGCCTGCTGTCCAATCTGGCTTTCGTAAATAATATTTATTTATTTATTTATACGGAAACTCCATTTTTACAATTTTAGTAGAATAACAAAATATATCAAAATTTCATAAGTGATACTAACACAACAATATCACATTTATACCAAAACAACCTAATTTAATTTAGTTACATAATTTTGGAAATATGTTTTTTAAACTGATGAGATCTGAACTTAAAAGGATCGATATTATGTTCATTGTATAATCTACACATACGGGTGAGAGGGTTGTGCATGGCGTAGTTTGTGCTATTGGTGGGAATGTAAAAAAGATCATTATTTCTAGTTCGACGCGTGGTCGAAAAGTTAATTAAATTTAGCAAACAATCACAGTTAATACTTCCCATCAATAATTTGTATAAAAAGCATATGGAAGACTGCGCTCTCCTGGACTCCAATGTAGAAATCGCAAGGCGATTTAGTACAGGCTCATAATCAATATAATATGGATTTTGTGCATCGGTATGGACATTAATATTAAAACGCCAGGCAACAACATGCAAGAATTTATTTTGAACTCCCTCCAGAGCAGATACATGCACCTGATGATAGGGTGACCATACCACAGATGCATACTCCAATAGAGATCTGACAAGGGAGCAATACAGCAATTTAAAGGCGTTTATAGACAGGTCAACGCTGTTTCGTGTTACAAGGCCAAGCATTCGTGCAGCGCTGTTAACTACCATGCCAAAGTGTTCTCGATAAGTTAATACAGCTGCACTACAGCCCTTCTACACATTACCAATGATAGAACTGCTACAGATGACAAAAAATGTACAATACTGATATTATTAGATTTCAGCCAATCATTTGATACTATCAATCACGACTTAATGTTAAGTATTTTGAAGTATATTGGATTCTCTCATAACGCACTAGAGTTAATGAGTAGGTATTTAAATGGTAGGCAACAAAAAGTCTGCATAGGAGGATGTGATTCAGATTTCTTAAATCTTAACTCAGGAGTACCACAAGGCTCTATACTTGGCCCTCTATTATTTTCTATTTATACTTCTCAACTATTGTTCAACCTTCAATCCTGTCATGCACATTTATACGCTGATGACATTCAAATTTATTATTAAAAATGCTTGTAATCTAGTTAATGTAGAATTAAATAAATTTATTAAAGCATCTGAAGAACATTTACAAGCAAATGGTGAATACTTAGCTGTCGTAAATGAAGCAAAAAATCTAGGAATATTGATGGATGCGGATTTAAGATTTGAGAATTATATAAACAAATTAATACAATGAGCCTATTTTACACTAAAAATTCTTTATTACAATAGACATTTTCTGCCTATCCATATAAAAAAGTATTTATGCGAATCTCTTATCTTGTAGATTTTTAATCAAGCTGATGTTCTATATGATCCAAATATAACTACAGATTACATGAGAAAAATTCAAAACAAACAAAATTCGTGTTTGCGATTCATAATGGTATCCACAGAAGACAATGAATATCATATAAACTAAAACAAATTGAATGGTTGAATATGGACAATAGAAAGATTCATCATGCATTAGGTCTCTTTCATAAAATTGCAAAAAAAAACATCCATAGGAAGATTACATATCGCACCGATATACATAATCTAAATGTTAGATTTAGAGGTGAAATTACAGTTCCTCGATTTAGAATTGAAATGTATAGGCAGTCCTTTAAATATCAAATATTTAAATTATACAATTCTTTACCATGTGAACTGAAAAGTTTCAATATAAATAAATTTAGAACTATATCAAAAAACCAGTTGTTCAATTCTCAGACTTAATTTACATTAAACATCAAACAGACTTTCTTGTGTTCAAGCAATATACAAACATTAGAAAAAAACACGTTTTCCTTTGGGGTTTGAGGGTTAAGTGGTAGAACATGCTCTGTAAATGATCAAACATTTACAAAGGATGAAATTCGCCCATTATTTCTATATTGTCACGAATTGCATTTAAAAATAATTAGATTTTTATTAAAGATAAAATAAAGTACTTTCCAAAAATATATTTCAACTCAAATTTTATTAAAGCCATTTTCAAAAATATAATTTTATTTCAATCTTTTTAATTTCGATTCAATTCCAATTTGTGTTTAATATTACATTTAAAGTTATTTAAAACAATAACAATCTTTTTGTCTAGTAATTAAAAACTTTATTTTATGTTGAAATTAAACAAAGCACTCAATTCGGTTATGCTGATTCTACAATTTCAAAACAATGTTGGGGTCAGCTAGCCAAATTGACAAAACAAAAAATAATATTTGTTGGCACAACCGAGGCTATAAGTTCTTCGGCTGTGACATAAATCGGCAGTAGGTAATACTCTGGGCAAAGAGACAGTACCTCTCTGCTGTATTACAGTCATAAAAGTAAAAATTAAAAAAAGGTCGTGACATTCAGGCTTTTTGTTAAAGCATGTGGTAAGATTATTTTATAAATTTAATAAAAAATAAAATAAAATCTTAAAAGGTATTTCTAAGAAAAGTAACCAGTTGGTTCTTTGAATTCTTTGTAGTGTTTATATTATATATTTGGTGTGTATTATAATATTGGGGATTTCTGGGTAGTTCAGGGGATTTTAGTTTGTGTTTATTAGCCTTTTTCCTGGGAAGATTTAAAAAAGATCCGCTAGGGGCAGCACTGGTGGGGGTACAAATGTTTCGAATTCTCTATTGACAACTACGTTAATCGTACGTTTTATTATTATTAGAATAAATAAATATTGTGATAAAAAAACAAATTGTCATGCCTACAAAACATTGTGCGTTTGCTAATTGTACGTCTGACAGTCGTTGCAAGCAAGAGTGTGTAAAATTTGTGCCTTTTATAAAACAACACGTTGACAAAAAAAAGTGTTTGGAGTGGATGCATTTATCACAAAGGGCAGATTTAACAGTTAAAAAAATAAAAACACCTAAATCCATTGCCAGCGACCGATTCAAAGGTTAGTAATTGTTTATTTAAAGAGGTTATATTTTATATCAGTAAATAATAAACTTAAACTTTTTTTTAATTGTGTATACAATACATCAAAGCATAGCAAAAAGAACGAGGGATAGATTGGGATGGAAAATTTGCCCCGTTTGTAGTAGGAAAAGTGCAGGATGTTGAACTTGGTAGAGTTAGATTAAGTAATTTAATGCGTTGTTTATCCGTTAGACGTTTACCACCATCAATTCCAATGAATTTTTTTTTATCATTACCATTTGCAATGCATTCTTCAATTATTACATATATAAAAAAATAACATAGTTCATTTAAAATTATAAAATTTTCAACATTACAATGACTACGTGAAAATTTATAAACCAACTAACCTTTCAACTAGTACATTTTTATTACCTGACACGGTTAAGCCACGATATGCAAGCCATCGTTTTAAGTCCCGGACAAGATGTTCTTGCACTTTTGCAAATTTCAATTTTGCTCCAGGTACATCATCTTCCGTTAATTCCATTATAAATCTATACGTTTGACGTTGTTGTCAATAGAGAATTCAAAACATATGTACCCCCCACCGGTGCTGCCCCTAGCGGATCTTTTTTAAATCTTCCCAGGAAAAAGGCTAATTAAAGATTTGTAGTTTTTTATGCCGTGACTTTTATTCCTTCCCCGGTAGCGTAAATCCAAGCCAAGCATAATAAATCATAAGAAAGGTTCTCCAGTGAGTATTTTCTGGTGGCACAAAGATCTTCCTCGACTGGAAGATCGTTTGGGCGATCCGAAATACGCAGTGGCTTACCCCACGATTAATTGATTTGCCCAACAAACCACTTAACGTGACAATATTATGTTTTGTATTTTTTTATAGAAATAATAAAGACATTATTATTATTTAAAATGTTTACTTGACAAAAAATTTAGGTATTCAGGGCTGATTTGTGTGACTGTATATTAAAAAAGTAGTTTTTTAAAAATATCTATTGATCTTAAAAATCTAGTTATTTTTTTACTTGATCTAAACTTTTCTCTGCAAAAACATTGGAAATTTAGATATTATTATAAATATTAATTACATTTAATCCTAGATGCACTGAAAATAAATGTTTGACAGTAAGATTTATTTGCTTATAAGTAAATATAACCACAACAATAAGTATGAAAGATAAAAATGAAATTGTATTAATTGTGGGTTAAATGTATAAATAATTTCAAGCAGCAGAAATTTTTAATATGAATCCATGGAAAAATATAATTTTTAATTAGTTTCTTGTCGAGGCATCCTAGATTAAATGTTTTAATGTGAATACTTAAACGTTTTACATTATTGAAAATAAGTTTTTTAATTCTGAACAATTTTTTATAATTACAATTACAAAAATAAAAGTACAATTTCAGATTTGATTGTTTCAATTTCGATTTTAGACCATTCAGAACCTTTTATAAAGAAAACGTTTTTTTCCTACAACTAAAAATATAAGTTTTCCATATTTATTATGTCCATATGTCGCTAGTATAAGTAGACACACTCCATATATCTATTCATTTACAGATTCCTAGAAATACAATTTTTTACTATCCTAGATGTCTGGCATTCATTGAGTTCAGTAATAATTAAATTATTCGAAGACATTTTATTAAAAAAAATTACATTTTAACAAATTGATTCACCATTTTGAGGATGCCTCGTTTTTCAACAAATAAATGTCAGATTAGTTATCAGCGATGCCAAAAACTTGTAATTCCGAAATTTAAAAACTATATTTTTTTACAATGGTCCACCATTTTCAATCAATTAAAAAAATGTTATTCAAAGCTGTAGACTTCAGAAATTATTGACAACTATAAAATCCTCTAAACAGAGAATTGCCAAAAATTTATTATTGTTATATTGTAGGTAAAATCATAAAATAAAAGGCTTACGTCTTTTTTCCACACATGAGCCCCAGTCTCGCATCCAACTTGACTCAAAAACGAATTGAAATCTGTTGTCTTTTTCTGACAGCATGACCAGTACTTCAAGCCTTCATGGAATATGGGACACCCTGGATGGTATGTGCAAATGGTAGAATTCGTTTCAATGCCTTGATAGTTTATTCCACAACCTCCATTTTTGCAGGTTGTCCCTATAGCTATTTCTCCATCATCATCAGCAATTTGTATTTCCTGTTTTGGTTGTGTAGAGTTCATTTGTTGTTGAAGGGAAGATGCAATATTGGGTTTTACTGTTATCTACAAGATTTATTACTATTTACTTTCAAATATAAATAAATAATATTCTAATCTGAATTTATTTGTTATTGTTGCACAAATATATTGAATGATGCACCTACTGGTGTTCCTGTAAAATGATCTATATGAATTTTAAATTAAAAAAATTAAAATTTATTGTAAATATAAAATAAATATATTTTTGTGAGTGGTCCAAAGTTATACTGGATTTGGGGTAACATTGACCAAAGCTTTCATTAAGAGAAATTACTGATTTCTTACAATTTAAAGGCTACGGGTAAGATTAAACCTTATTAGTTTTAATGTAGAGACCCCAGGTCAGTTATTAGTTATAATTCATTTGTATTTATGTTGACAAGGATGCCAGCAAAATGATATCTTCTTCTTTAGAACCTTTCTTTAGTGGCATTTCAGCCAGATACGTTTGTGTTGGAACATATATAAAAACATAATTCACTGGCTCCACATACTTTGATTAGTTTGATTACTATACAGGGCAAGAGAGAGGTCCGACACGCCCAACATAGGGCGCGGCCATTTTGAACCCTATGACAGTTTATAGCTAAAGAATCAGATCGCTCACTCTGTGTCGGCACTTTTTATCTCAATGTTCCAGTTTATACACTGCGCAACTCAGATAATACAATATATGACGACCGCCTATAATAAAACAGCAGTCTTCTGCGTATCCTGAATTTGTATCCCTGGAGTGGATGTTATTTTGGAACTTTCCACTGGTCCGAGTGAGCTAACTGATTCTTTAGCAATAAACTGTGACTCCAAAAATAATATTCACTGACACTGACAGCAGCAAGCAAAATATCAGGTGCGTTTTAATCATCCGCTTCTGCTTCCGGAATTGTTGGTTCAGTCGTTCTAACCTGTCAGATTAAAACAAGAAAACCGACAATTCCGAAGCAGAAGCGGATGATTAAAACGCACCTATTAAAAATATTGCGCCAAGATGTAGGCAACACGTAATAAGGGTTCAAAATGGCGGAGTTTTCTATCTCCTTTTAAAAGGCACTCAGAAAGCTGCGCAGTGCGACCATTCTCCGTATAGTAAAAGAAAATCAAAGTATGTGACTGGCTCTCATTAAATAACATTTTCCAGTAATTGACATTTGTGTCAATAACAGGTCTACTACATATTAGGTCTTTTCCTTTGCATCGAAAGTGTAGCACTGAGCTACACCACTTCTGAAAATATCGTTCCATTTATACAAATTGTATGGATGGAACGATATTTTCAGTGCTACACTTTCGATGCAAAGGAAAAGACCTATTGTAGTTCTAAATTCAAGCTTAGTATTCTACGTAACATGGCACTGTTGCCAAACCTTGATTTTGTTCTCTGTGATAATTAATTCCAGTGTTTGACAAAAAGTGTCAATCACTGGACATAGGCTGTTCCAGTTATTGATTTTTATTTTATTTTTCAGATAATGGCTCCAAAGAAAAATTATAATGCAAAAGCAATGGCTCAGGTGCTTCAATCTGTAGCAAATGGTGTACCCATAGAAAAATAAAAAGAGAAGGTTTGAATAAATGGCGGGACTTGTTTCCTTGTTGGTAGTTGAACCGTAAGCGCTTAGCGCGCTGCTATCACTAAATTCAAACCCGTTTTACACCCATAAAAAAATTTGTTTTCAAAAATAATGACAAAGAAATCGATAATTTTACTGATTTACCACTTTAAATTTCACTTTAATATAATGTGTGATCAAATACAGGGATAATCGTTAATAAATTTAAAGTTAAAGCTAAATTTAAATATTATTAGATGGTGTAAATCAGGCTTTGAAAATAAATTAGGTTATGATGCTATAAATATGTCAGCCTAATCAAGCATGGATCAAGCCTGATATTATTTTCATTTTCAAATGCAGGTGATATTTTTTTCAAATGTAGGTGAGTAAATTGTATTAATTAAGTGTAAGTTAGATTTAACTAACTTAACTATAGGGAGGTTCTAAAGAAAATCATTAACTTCTGATTCATTTAAATTTTAATTGCAGAAGTATTTTTCTCACAAAACTAACAAGAAATTTTATGTTTTTCCTGCTATTATTACTCTAGAGATAAATGGATCCACATTTTAAACATTTGTGGTCAAAAAAATGAAAGGAGTTGTGAGCGAAATGTGTGAAGCCAATTTACAAACAAATATTGTAGAACCCCAGATAGAACCTCATCCTAGTTTTACCATTGTATAAAGAACTTTAGTTCTTTATACAATGGTTTTACTCATAAAGACCATAATGAAAAAAGGCGAATGATTTGTGCTCAAAAAGTTATTGTTCAATTTTTGGGTGATATTCATTAATATATTTATCAAATAATACCCAAATATGTTCAAAAACTTATATGCTATTTAGGTCAACTTGTTAATTTTAGCATAGTTCACCTATTAAGATCATAAATCAGATGTTTTCTATTTTTATACCTTTTATTGCAAGAAAAATGTAAGAATTTAAAAAAGTTATGACTCCTGTTAATTTTTAATTTTAAGATACACACTGCACCTTTATTTTTGTTTTAGATATTCCTCGGTATGGAGATTTTTGGAATGTACATAAATGTGTTTCTTAATTAGGGTGAGTTTCAAAACCCATCTGTATTGAAGCTGGAGGCTTATTGTACCCGAAATAGGCATTAAAACTATTCTAGAGTGAAATGGATGGAAAAAGGCCTTAAAGGGACAATAAGCATAAGAATATTAGAATTAGAATAATTTGTCCTTGGATTAATAAGGGATATTTAAAACATTAAAACAATTGTGTTTATAAATTAACTACTTTGACTTTTTATATAAACTATATCCGGTTTTTTTAATAATAAAAACATTGTCATGTGCTATGCTTGTTATCATATTATATTTTTATTTTTCAGTAATTTAGTGTGTGATATAGTGCTTGTTATGTTCAAAATATGCAGTTAGAAGATAATGAGACACATGTAATTACATGGTAATTCTAAATAAATTAAACGTGTTAAAAATGTGTTTTATTTTTCAACTAATTTTATTTATCAGTTAAAACAAGTGACATTTTCCATTTGTCAACATTTACCTACAAGAAAAATTCACTAAACTTATTGTTTGTTTAGTAGTTGTAAGTAAAAGTTGACAAATAGGAAAATGTTACTTCAAATTGCTTCAAATATATAAATTATCAAGCCCGCCAATTTTTAAATCGCTTTAATTAGTAGTGTTCTACTTTATCGACTGAAACTGACAGGTGTAGTTCAACCGTAAGCGCTTAGCGCGCTACTGTCGAGGTCAAGCAAACTTGTTACCAACTATTTACATGGAATCTGACCCCCGTGGGTGTACCAGTAGCTGTAGTTGCAAAACAGACTGTCATACTAAGAACAACTTTAATCTATAAATCAACGGGAAAATCATCGAACGTATGTTCTATGGGACCTTCAACCGTTTTAACTTCACAAGAGGAAACGATTTTAAAACAATAGATTCTTTTACTTCAGCAGTAAAACTTTCCCGTGACTAAAACAATGTTATAGCGTGGAAAAACAATTTTGCTAAAAGGCAGAACTATTCCATTTAAGAACAACCGTCCTGGAGACAAATGATTTAAATTGTTTTTTCGTAGACACCCAGATATTTCCCCAAGGGTGGCACTAAATTTGACTCCAGCAAGGGAATGTGTGACAGAACAACAGATTAAAAATTAGTTTCATAAAATAAAAGAATATCTAGACCTTTTAGAAGTGACCAATGACCTCAAAAGAGTTTTCAATGCTGACGAAAGTGCATTTTATTTAAACCCCAAAGGTAACAAGGTCCTTGCATGTAAAGGCGACAAAAATATATACTTAGTTGGCAGGGATGAGAAGGAAAGCCTTACAGTCCTGGTGACAGCCATGAAAATTACATTTGTACAGTTAATAAAAGAGCTTTATTGGAAAAACTATCGTCTCCAGCTATACTTACCTCTGAAGACTGGATCAAATATAAGTTTGAAAAACCTGTTGATGTTTATAAGGCTTCAAAACTATGTAATATCTAATGAATATGTTTATCTCTGTATTATTCCAGATATACTTTGTTTCTTTTATTTTTAAGTTCTGTTTTCTAGAATGCTCTTGATTATTACAATGATTTTGTTAATGAGAATTTCAATTAATAAGTTTTGATTATACTATATGTTTATGTTTTTAAATACTTTCATATCTTAAGTAACTACCTACCTATTTAACAAATACATAATTTTAAAAATCATTATCTACAATTATTTTTTATTTAGTTAATTTCAATCTTGTAAAGTGTCAATAATTGGACTTTGGGTGTCAATCATTGGTCATTTTACAGCCATTTATTTTTTCTCTTCACTTATCCTGAAACCATATTTATTTTTGCTAAAACTGCTTTTGGTTATCCATATAAAACCCCATAAATCTTTTAGTGGACATGAAAAAGGTCTGAAGTTTACATATTAGTCTATATTTATTTTTAATTAAAAGAATGCCCTAATTGTGTCAAAGACTGGTATGATTACCTTGTCACATATGATTCTGTGGGATCATAATAACACCTATATTTTCAGATAAATTTTAACTAAAAGAGACTAACAAGTGAATAGAAAAAGTGGGTCTCATTATGGACAAAAACAAAGAACTTTCATCCCAGGTCTCCTCCTATATTACAAATTTGTTTTGAATGGTTTAATTTTATATAAGGTATTTAATAATAACTTATTGCCATTTTTATGAGCAGGAGCAGCTTTTTTCAAGTTTGTGTATGGGATTTTTCAGAAGGGTTTTTATTCTCATTAGATATTTTACCTTTCAATCAATTTAAAAGGTTGCAAAACCAGAACTTACTAAAGGAGTATCAAATGGCGGCCGTACAAGTGTAGTAGCTATAATTGGTTTAATTTCAACAACTTCCTCCAATAAATCTTCTTTAAGTACTTGTTTTTCAGGTTCAGCTGGTTTTATATTAGAGTGTTTGGATAGTGTGCATCCTTGAATATTAAGGAATTCTGTAAAATCAGTACATTTTTTATTGCAACATCCCCATCCTTTGTAAGCATCATGAAAAACTGGTAAGCCAGGGTGGTGCCTGCAGGAATCTAAAAGAGTTTACTATATAATAAAATATTAATTGCATTAAATAAAATAAAATTGAAATAAATCCTTTTGTGAGAGGCTATTTGTAAAATTATTAATTTACTTGTAAAGTTATACTTTTAACATAGTCCCTTTTCTAAAACAAATGTGTAACTTGAGTTAAAACTCATGAATTGGGATTGACGTATCAATATGATGAGTGAGGAATATTGAAAAAAATTTATTTATTTATTTACCGGTAACCCCATTAAAAAAAAAAAATACAAAATAAAAAGTAGAATAAAAGCAGCAAAATAAATACTGAACTAAATACTAAACTAATACTAATATAGGTAATATAAAATACAATATAAAATATAACAGCATAAAATAACAATTATAAAATCAGTTCGAAAATGAAGACATAAAATGTTAGACTTCCATATTATTTAAAATGTTTAAATTGAAAACAAATTTGTTGCACAAACAAAGCTTTGGATCCCAGACTAGGTTAAAAAAATAAGTGATAGAATTAAGATCTTTTATTTATAATAAATATTTGGTGTAATCTTTTTATCAACTGTGGGCAACAAATTAAAAAAAAAAAATACTTTGACAGACCATCTAATCTTGATGGAGATTAAATATCCTCATTTATTTTTCAATATCTGCCATGTGAAAAATATTAGTTTGTGAATCCTGATACACATATCAGCTATTACTGTCTATAGTATGAATGTTGGCACATAACAGTGTTTTATTAATTGATATACAAAATCAACAGACTTTTTTAGCACATCAGATATTACCATGAACATTTATACCGGGTGTTCGAATTAAAGTGTTACAAATAAATACCGCCGAAAATACGCATTTTAGAAAAAAAGTTTTATAGTTTTTTGGGGGAAACATTTTGGCTAAATTAATTTTTTTATAGCTGACCATAATATGGCCATATCGAGGTGAACTTTGTTTTTTTAAATGGGAATCCCATTTTTTTTTAAATATTCTTAAAGTACATAAAAAAATAAGAAACTTTTGATGAAAATATTTTTTATATTGGACTTTTACTTTTTGAGTAACAGCTACTTGAAAATTTTGCTAGGTGAAAAAAAAGTTGACCATATTATGGTTAGCTATAAAAAAGGGTTTTAGCCAAATTTTTTTCCCCACAAAACTATAAAACTTTCGTCTGAAACTTTTTTTTATAAAAGGTGGTATATAGCTGTAACACTTTAATTTTAACAGTTCGAATACAACCAAACCTAAAATTCGCCATAAAGTGCATCAGGTATTGCACAATCAACGACGATATATGACTTATTCATAATATATGTAACAAATTTATATCCAGCAACATTAAATTTTGTTCTCCCAATACTAGTTAAAAAAGTACCCACATATTTAGGTCATTTTGAAGACCAACTATTAGAAGCAGGTATTTCCAAGACAAATTAGGCCTAGAAAAATCTAGTCGATTCCAAGCAACAGTCGCTTCAAATAAAAGGTAAAAAAAAACTACATTAGCGAAAGTTGAAAATAATTCCAGAATTTTCAGAACATAACCTCACTTACCTTCTTTATTCTTTTCCGGGTCGTATTTTTCGCCACAGCCACGATTATAGCATTGCAATAGTACTTTTTCGTCAGGCATTTCATATATCTATAAAAACCGTATCCTAAGTTACTTTAAACAAATTTCTTTCCTTCTTTTTATTTCTTGTTGAATTAAAAATAAATTCAAAAAACGTAAAACGTGAACGTCTGTCGTCGTCTGTCAAATTCGTTTGTCAAAATTTGTAATTGTCATTATGTCATGTCCAATGACATATAGTTTATATAGACTGCTTATCCATATATTATGTATAAACAAGACGACAAAAAGCGAGTTATATTGCCGAGTATATACTGGGGCCGAGTGCTCACCAGGCAGAATCGGTCTGGCCCAAATGAGTTTAAAATTCATATTTCATCAAAGTAGGAATTGAATTAAAAAGAATAATTACCTGAATGTTTATTTAAAAACAGGAGCTTGTGTTAGGTATTTTGAAAGAGAATATGGTAATGTTGTAGTTGACGGGTCTAGAAATGCGCATATTCACACCACTCTGCACTGACGTCTAGAATTTGAATTTGCTCAAGCCACGTTGCCAAATCTCCACTTTCATTTTAGCTTGCTTTATTTCATAGTTTATTATTTAGACAAATTGTAACCTCTGTAAATTAAAATGTATGATAAATAAATATATAGATTTATATTATATTTTGAAATAACAATTCTGTTTTGTTTTATAAGACAGTTTTGATAGATTTTAAATTTAAATTTTGTAATTATCACTATTGAAAGGTATTATTGCCATTAAAAATAACGATCGTATTACTTGAAAATCTTTAGAATTTTTTTTTTATGGGATTTTTAATCAATGTAAAAATTGGTAAATAGATGATTAAAAGTAAAATAATTATTTCAATCTGCTTATTCCCTGGTTCCAAATAATTCAATATAACCTGGCAACTATGTAACGATTCCAACTGACAGAACTAGCCGGAACAGCAATGGTGCGGACTGGCGCATTTCCAGACCCTTCAACTAGAACATTACCGAGAATATATATTTGTTTGAGTCGTAAAGTCTAGTTCCATATTTTCAAAACATTTTAAGATATCTAAATAATTTTGAACATAGATGTAAACAATTTTAAACTCCTGTATAAACATCTTTAATAATAGATGCATGTAAGTAACTTTAGGCCACTGTATAGTGGCCTATATGGACACTACAATATTCTGTAAGTCCGCCTCAGTCCGCCATATTTGCAGATCTGCAATTTCGGCATTTTCTGTAATCTCACCCATAGTCAATAGTGTAATGACTTATGATGATAGATTGATATAAACACATGATTAATAAACTCCCACTACTTAATTATGGCTGTTTTGTTAATGCAGAATTAGGAGCTGCAAAACAGAGTTCTTTAAGAATTTAATCCTTTTTGTACGACATATTTCACCTGTGGAAACAATGCATGTACTGGACAAAGAGAAAACATCTTCCAGTTTGACCAGTTTTTCATCATTTTATTTATGTATGGATAAGCAGTCTATAAAAACTATATATGGCATTGGTCATGTTATAAAAAATTTAAAAATGTATTTTTGATGTAAGGTAAGTTGTCTAATAGTAGTAAACGTAAATGAATATGGGATACCAAGTATATTATTTTTAAATTAACACTAGTACTATAACTTACTAAATTTCTTAAGGTTTTCTTAAGGTATTTTTAATTTAGGACGTGTTTGAATATTATATATATTACATCTAAATATTAAAAATCTGATGTGTCCAACACATGACTTTCCTATCTAGTTATTATATGCATTTTCCGGTTATTTTGTACAACCTATTGCAGCATCTCTATAAATGTTTAGAGGATAAACTAAATATATACATTTTACACATACATCTACCTCGAAACATTTTTTTATAGATATTCATTGAAAACGAAAATACAAAAAATTAAAATTTAGCACTTTTCCATTACGGTCCATTTTAGAAAAATCATGTATAAACAAAAATTATAGAAATCGATATCGCAAACAACTTTTAGTTCAACAATTTTCATAAAAATCAGAATTTTGCACATTTTGTCAAATTTCTCGAATACGGACCATTTCAGAAAATTTTGACATAAAGCAAAAATTATAGATAAAAATATTAGAAGTAACTTTTATTTGAACAATTTTCTTCTCCAAACATAAATAACAGATATATTCCATAAAATATAAAAACGGCCTCCCATAAAGTACCCCCCAGATGTTCCGACTTTGTCCAAAATCTAATCATTTCACGTCAGGCCGAAATAAACCTTAAGTTTAAAATTTAATGTTTTTTCCTTTATCCGTTTTTGAGTTTTCTTCAAATTTCGAAATTTACACATTTTCTCAAATATCTCGAATACGGTCCATTTTAGAGAAATTATGTATAGAACAAAAATTATAGAGAATTATATTACAAACAACTTTTATTTGAACAATTTTTATAAAAAAATATTTTTTTTACATTTTGTCAAATTTCTCGAATACGGACCATTTTAGGAAAATTTTGCCTAAAACAAAAATTATAGATAATTATATTAGAAGTAACTTTTATTTGAAGAATTTTCTTCTCCAAACGTAAATAACAGATATATTCCATAAAATATAAAAATGACCACCCATAAAGTACCCCCCCAGATGTTCCGACTCTGCCCAAAATCTAATCAGCTCATTGGACGCTGAAACAAAGCTTAAGTTTAAAATTTGGTGTTTTTCTGGGTATCGGTTCATGAGTTATGCCTTATACAGACACACACACACACACACACACACACACACACACACACACACACACACACACACACACACACACACACACACACACACACACACAGACACACACACACACAGACATCATCGCGAAAATAGTCAAAACGGATTCAGGGGACCTCAAAACGTAAAAATCCGTCGAAAACTCGAGGTCGAAAAAAATCATGATTCCTATACTTTCCTTATATCTGTATACAGATAGGAAAGTAAAAAATAGATCACTAGGAACTATGAATAATTGTGCCTACTGTGAATACTAAGTGAATACATCAGGTACGTGGAATATATTCGTATTAAAAATTTAAAAATTTATAAAGGTTCTGTCTCGTGAACTAACAAAGTTAAAACTTAATAAAAACAATGTATCCTGGACTAGAAATATTTAAAAATATTTAATTCAGACAAACATACCGTCTTCTTTTTAAATAGGGTTTTAATTAATATTACTAGTAAACCACCTTGGATAGGGTATAACTTATACTGGGATTATATCGTTGAAAATAATTTTTTCTAGAGTTAAAATGATATGGTATATTATTCATTTTCGTATTTCGCTATGACCTCGTCCCTCTAAATTGGAGTATTCATTCACGTTGATGCCAAAGTAATCTGTATATATATTTTATGGTGAATACCTACTGTTTTTGATGCCTCACAAAAGCTGCCAAAATGATTAAAGAGGAACATCCCTTTATTGAACAGACATAAAACCATAAAAATTTCATAACCTCTCCAAGAAAGTTGGAGCTATAAGCTATATTAAATAATTTATTTTGATATATTCATTTTAGTCCGATATTTTTGCAGATATTTTGTTCAACATAAAGCGCAACATCGCTCTCGTTAAAAATATGATTTCTGTAAAAGATCTTTTAAAAATAACATTTCCCTGTCTGAATGAAGGATTAGTGCAAATGGTACTATTCCTACAACTTTCTAACATGTAGCCAATCGGTTCTGGAATGTAAATGGATCGATAGCACCATATGGAAGTAAGAAATTTTTGTAAATGTATTACATTCCCCCTAATTTAATATACACTATTTCAATTTTATTAATAAAAGTAAGTCTAACCTTAAACAAATAAAATAACAATCAAATAATACTATATACACGTAAAGCGTCCTGAGGACAACATACTACTAAAATACTCATCCACCACTTATCGAGTATCATTGTTCTGTGGGAAGCACCAGTGAGAAGAGTGTATTTTGTAATTTCTATTATGTAATAAAATTCAAATTCTTAATTTCTTTTAGACCCAATGCTCAACGATAAACACGAAATACGAATACAATACAACATTGATGAACTTTGGAGAGATGAGGGCCTTCTTTTAGCTTCCCACAGATAAATACAACTGACAAAAACAAAAAAAGCCATGCAGAGGACCAGAGAAGTCATGTATTACGTTTTTGTTACGTTTATTTGTTATATTTTAGTAAATTATGTATTACATTAATTGCTGAAAAATAATAGTGTTTTGCTGGACAAACACGGCATTTTGCTGAATAAATACGGCGTTTTGATGTACAATATCAAATGCTGGACAGACTTTGAAAATGCTGTACAATACAGCGAAATGCTGTACCTATGGTCATTTAAACTAATCCTGAGTGGATATTTAATCTGCATGTCTTTAATATTAACCCTCGGCCAAGTTTATTACAAATAGGTAAGTGAAATGTGATTTGGAAATAATACAGCAATATATTTCGATTTCAAAAGTTTTTATATTATAATACAATAGGTTTTTGATATTAACAATAAATGACAGATTAAAATTTTTACTTAATCAAAATATAAGTAATTTAATAATTTAATTTATTTTAATTTTATTTGTCATAGAGCATGATTCTAAAGGACGCTCCCAAAATGATAGCGGATACTTCTTTAAGAATACATATATACCTATTTTTTGTTTTGCTTCATTCAAGTTCGAGAAAACTATTGTTTTTTTATTTTGTCGAAAGTAACTCCATGCTCGAAAGGCATTAAATCAATGTGTCGATTTTATATGCATCATCGGATGAAGGTCTAAATTGTAGCAAAAAATTTTTCATTTTTGGAAACTGATCAGCGCACTTACTTATCCAATTGGTTTTCTTAATCTAACGTTTCTCAGTGTAAGATTAACGTATTTCTTCAATATTTTGAATCACAATTCATTTCTAAATGAAACAAGTAGGTACTCTGTCCTTTTTTCGCTCGAAAAAAAAACAAACCAAACATATTTTGATTTTATGTCCTATTTTAAAGGTTTCTAGTTTAACAAAATCACTAAATAAAAAAAATTGAATAATTATTTAACTATAAAAATAATGAACGGGTGCATTTGGGATATCTAGAGTTGAGGCGTGAGTTTATTCTATGTTTAAGTATTTTTTAAATAAAAAGTATATTGCAATACTATATGGTTAATTGTTTTTTTCTCAAAAAGCGAAAACAAAACTTTTTTGCTTAAGACTGATTACGAGTACAGACAAAATGCGATATTATTTCTTAGACAAAAAAGTCAAGTTAACATATAAGTAGGGTATGTTAGTAGCGCTCTCTATCAAAAACTGTATTGTTTTGGCAGCATCTTAGAATCAACTGTATACTTTTTAAGATTACCATGTTTGCAGTCAGTAGACTTGAGGTTTCATTATCTACTATTTGGAATATACTTAAAATTTCCTGAACATTATTTCGAGGAATTTCACGTATATTCGGACTTTTATATACCTACTGACAGCACTCGGGATACTATTTTAGAAAATATAATACTAAAATAATAATATAAAAATTAAATTTAAGTTTCACTACTTTCTTCTATTTTAACATCACTTCCAATTTGAATATTACCCCCATTATTCGAACTTTCTTGATTAAGATAGATTCCGAAATTAATTTTGCCTTTAAACGCCCTTGATAGCGTCATCAGAGGTTCCTTTGAAATACCACCGGTGGTTTGATCGATGCAAATCATTTGACAACGTGTACAGTTTCCAAAAAACTAAAAAAAGAAATAGATATATCCTGAAATATAAAATTTATAAAAAATATAAACAATAAGTTGGCCAATGAAACTCAAAATAAGTAAGTATCTTTATGTTTATACCTTGAATGATACACTGTCAATAAGAATGCTATCAGTTCGATTTTCTTCAAACGGTTTAGAATATTTTACAACTAGATTTGGTCTAAATCTGTTTATCGTAGAACCTAGATCTTCCTGTAATTCCCCGTCTGGAACTTGATTTCTTAACCATTCAACGCTAGTTGAATTTATTAATAAATACTGAGCTTGATTTGCAAAGGATAGCTGCTGACGTAAATCTACAAACAGAAGAAGAAGGCTTAAAAAGCGGACTATAGATGATTTTATCGGAAAACATTTGGACTGTTCCAACAACAATCAGAAACCAGTCACCGACACCAGGATTCTACGCATGGTCTGTTCCAACAACAATCAGAAACCAATCACTGATACCAGGATTCTGCGCAGTAGATTATTGAGACTACCAAATGCTCTACTGCGCAGAATCCTGGTGTCACTGACTGGTTTCTAATCGTTGTTGGAACAGACCTATTATTGCCATTGAAAGGTCATTTGTGCCATCTATCAGTTTACGTAGCAAGTAATAGAAGCAGGATTTTATTTCAAAGGAAACTGTGAATTATTACTTCTGCAATCTAAGGCTTAGACTAGTTTAGCCTATACAATAATATAATAACGCCCTTGCAATGATCTTGCAACGGCAATATGTATGATGAAAATATGTATTGCATGTTCGGATATAAATATTTTTTAAAATTGTTTGTTATTCAGCATTGGTTTTGGTTTAGCAAATGTAAAAATATTGGAAGATTAAATATCTACCTACAGACATGCTACGATGCAAGGCAGCATAGAGAGAGGGGCGCTGCCCCCTCTGGCTTTTTAGTTTGTCAATTCACTATTATAACTTTTGTATACATATATAATATAGTTGTTGACAAACTGACACTTGTTTTGATTGACCCCCCCCCCACCCTGACTGCGACGTGAAATAAGTTATAAAGAATGTATTAAAAAGGTAGAACATAAGTTATACCTAGTTAGGTTATAACTAACTTACATATGTACAAAAGTGCATACAAAATTTATTGTTTTTTATGACCTACCTTGTTAGTAGGCAAATAAAACTCAAGTCTACTTGATTTTCAATGTTCGGTATAGCTGAAGAGAGCAATGTATAATATCTAGTGCTTTGTTTACCTTTTTCTTCAGGCTCAAATTGTCGTAGCAACCTTAGACCTGAGGCTTCCAAATTTTCTGACAGCCAATCGGAAACTTCATCTCCACAATCCCAGCCTATCACTCGGTCTCCACAAACTTTGCTCTGGCAGAGGTACGTTTCTTTTCCGGTTTTTGCATCGTCGATGTTGATTTCAATACTAGAATTTTCTACAAAAAGAAGCATTTTTCTAAAGTACCGAATTGTAAATTATTTTTGTATATTAATAGGGTGTCGATTTAAAAATTTACACTGGGCAATATCCCGTGAATAAATGAAAATATCAAAAAAAGAGCATAAAGATGTCTCGAAGGAAACGGAAGTACCTAACCCAAGTGCCAGGAGTTAGTATTATGGGATTACGTTTAGACAGCAACTGAAGCTATTTGCTCGTATATGGTAGTTACTAGTAAAAGTAAATAAGAACATTAAGAACAGTTAAAATAGGAAAAAGCTTAAAAAGAAATCAGCTTTAGAAACTGGTAATGTTAAAGTTATAAACTAAATTTTTTTCTTACCTTTAAAATGCAAAGTCAAAGTATTTTTTTTCAAATTTATAACTGGCCTGATCAGACACATCTTCTTGTTTTGTTTTTGGGTAAGACATACTCCTGCTGCATTTACTATCATCCATTCTCTATCAAATTTCAAACCTTTCGTTGTCGCAGTCCAACTATTTCGGATGGAAAAGGCTCCACAGGATTTTACAGGATATAATATAATTTGTTCTAAGGTAGCTATGGCGTCTTTTGCTTTGGAGATATTTTGGTTGATAACTTTGGGAGTTGTTTTTGCAGGTATTTCATGATTATCTGTAAAATAACAATAATAAAAAATAGTGAAATGAACGACACTTTTAGTATTTTTATTTAGACTTGCTGTTCGATATTATTTATTTAACGAAACAATTTTATTTATTTAATTTTGTGTGTCTAATAATTAAGAATATTAAAAAGGGACCGTGCCTGAGACTCGAACTTCTGAAGTGTAACTCTCGAGAAATTACATAAGAACGCTGTGGCTAATTTCGGTGACTTTCAGCCATCGAATTGGGTTCCTTTCGATAACAAAAGGACTGGTCAGAGTCGGTTTGGTTTAAGTAATCGCATTACAACAGATTACACTATTGTCCCGCCAAGGTGAGTTACCCTTCAGTGTGTTCAGTTTCAGTGCTCGAACTATAAGAGACGAAATCCAAAACAATTTTAATAAACAGTTTTACATTAAATATACAAATAATGTTTACTCAAATAAATATTAAAAAATACAAATCTATTTGAGTACATAATGATAGTAAGTAATGATGCAGCACTGCACAATTTTAATATAATCAGTTTGTACGTGGTAAATATTAAATAGATTAAATAAATGTAAAATTAAATCATTATAAATATAAGATAGTATGGATTGCTACAAGTAGGTATCTATACTATCTTGACTATAAAACGACTATTCATTTACTTTGGAATATACTCTACAGATACGGATATTTAAACGTGGACCATGTAAACCAAATTTATTAAAGAGTTGGAGTGAGATACAAGCAACGACGAAAAACTACTAGACTAATCTATTCTTTCCTAATTAAGCATTCAGATTGTTTTTTGAACTAGGCAGGCAAAGATGTCGCATCAGCTGTCGCATTAGAAAGAGCGAGACGATTGCTAAGTTGAGTGGGGATGATTTTTTTTTGTCTAAGCACTCATTTTATGAATGAACTAGACCGTACTCCTGCTTTACACATTTGCTACAATGTAAATAAATGGTGTATATGCCTGTAATTCACCTTCAGCCACAATAATAGTTGCAACCAAACACATTAAACAGATCATAACTTCCAATTACAATGCAAATATACTTCCTTAATGTAATTTTTAAAGCCTTTTGTGCTTTTTAGACCCTTATATTAAGTCAATTCCGAAATATAACCATAAAAAATACTTGAAACAGGACTCTCCCATAAATAATTTGGCAAATACGTATGGATAACACGGTGAATTCTTAAAAATTCGGTCTCACTAAACAAAATTAGTCTAGTAGTTGTTCGTAGAAGTGCTATTGGCCCATTTATTCATCAAAATAACTGCCTACCAATGGGCCTTTCTGTGAAAACAAACATGGTTTTGTAATTTTTAACAATGCGGTTTATTTAAGACGGAAGCCGTCAAAAATGATCTCTCATGAGACGTCAATGACTAAAAAATATAAATTCTTCAGTTTTTCAATACTTTCCATCCCTATGCAATTTTGTTCTATGAAATTTCTAATAGTATGATAAATAAAATTTTTAATATTAATATATCAAGAAAACAAAAATCCTTACCTATCTCGTTGGTTATATTTTGATCGTATTTAGAATAAAACAATTTTTCATAATTTTGTTGTATTTTTTCGAAATTATCGGGTTTCTTTCTCAAAATTGGCTTTGAAACGAAACAATCTTCAATTAGTTTCAAAAATTGATCGGCATCCTGTTTTCTCGACATGTAGCCGAAAGATATTCTTACGGTACCAGTTGGTTGTCCATCTATTAGGTCTCTTTGGTCACCGCAAACATGTCCACTCTAAAATAAGGACCTATTTATAATATACAGTGTGCTTCAAAATTTGACCAACGACCTAATGCTAATTTCCCATGTCAAATCAGAGACAAAATATAGAGGGTTAACATTAATAAAAAAAATATTTAGTTTCATCAACTTTAAGTGGTCTTTATGTTCTCACAATGGATCAATAGGATAAATTTAATAATCTTTGATTCTCAACAATAGCATAAAAATCTACTAGGATAAAATGAAAAATAAACCATTTTCAAAAAAATTACAGATAAAGTTATCTACTACAATGTGCATGATTTGTTAGCGGGAATTAACACAAGGCAGTTGGCTGTCGAATTTTTGGACATCTAATATAATAGAATATTTTAAAAACAACGTAACATTACATTTAGCCTTCAGATAATAACATTCTTTAATTAGAAGCTTGAATTAGTTTTCTTCTTTAAAAAATCAAAATATTCTTACGTTAAAGTGTTTGATGATGTCACTTGTTTGTAAATTTAAAAATCTTTGACAACCCCCTGGATTACAGTGACAACCTGTTCTTAAATGGATCCCGTGCAAATTTGCTAGATGTAAAACCTAAAAAAAAAAAATATATATAATAAAGAAGAAAATATGTAGAGAATTTAAACTTTGAAGAAGACTAATGTAATTTTAAATTTAAAGAAATGAGTTATTGTTCCTACGTTGTCTTGTTACGCCACTGATCGGAAAAATCTAATTGCTTATTTCACGAAGACACATTTTAAGTTATTAATGCTGCGTTTGAATATCCACATCGAATGCATCTGAGATGTGAATGTTTGATCACGTGATTCAATATACGTAAATGTATAGGACAGATGTGTCCGATATGGATAAACAAACGCTCGAGATGTAAAAAATGCATCGGATGTGGATATTCAAACGCAGCAAAACTCACTTCAAAACTTTAAAGTACTAAATTAATAACAAAAAATTACTATTCGCTTTATTTTTTGGAAATATAAGTAGTAACTACGTTATATAATTTTACTTTTCAGGTTAATATTTAAATAAAACCGGCTAAATGCGAGTTAGACTTGCGCATGAACGTTTCCGCATCATCGTACAAGATTTAATACTATGTAGGTACTTTTTAAATACTCTATTATCGAGAAAAAAAGACAAAGAACACGTTCCTAGTAGGGAGCCCCCCTCTTATTTTTAATTACTCCTTATTATAGCTGCAACAGAAATACACATTTTGTGAAAATTTCAACTGTCTACCTACTACGGATCATGAGATACAGACCACCGACAGACAGACGTACGAACAGCCGAGGCTTATTAATAGGGTCCCGTTGATAACCCTTCGGGTATGGAACCCTAAAAAGAATGAATTTGTTAAATTTTAAATGATCAAAACACTAAATTAAGCAAGAAATAATTTTAAAATTAAAAATAAAGCCGACCCTGTTGAATGTTTATCGATCAATGCACGCAGTAGCAACTGAAAACGACCAATACTCATGCTCAACAAGGCCGGCACGAGGTGTTTGTTATGGCCAAACGATGCGCGATGTGGCCAAAAGTAGGATATTATTTGTATATTATACAGAGTGATGAATAATGAATTGTACATACAGCCTGACATCAAAATATACCGTTTCGCCAAATACGACCTCAGTAAAATATTGATAGCCAAAAAATCATCTTCGTCAGCATATGTAGCACCCCTTCGTAGAATAAACCAAAAATAACATTAGTGACATTTGCCACTTCAAAAAACCACAATTACCAAAATTTCATCAATATTAGTAAAGCGGGTATTGTAATAATTCTAAATAATTAATAGAATATTTCAACTTTACCACTCTGTAAATTATTAACTATCAACATTTTACTGAGGTCATATTTGGCAATATTTTAATGTCAGGATTCTACCATTGCTCTGTACAATTCATTATGAATCACACTGTACATGACATCGAAGCTAGACAAGATAATATATTGGAATAAAAATTGTGTTAGTAGGCAGCTGTCATCCATTCAGTAATAAATCTCCTTCCTTTGGGTTTCAAAGTTTTCAAGTAAAAATTAAACAATTAACAAAAAATAATATTTTTCTAATTTTGACATATAAGTGATATTTTTTGCAATCACAGCAAGTGTCAAAATAATTTACTTTACGAAATCAGTTGCATCTTGTTGAACTGGTTTCGAAAAATTAATTACATCACCAGTTGCAAAAAGAAAACAAATAAAAATAAATTTGTTTTTGGTTTAAAATACATTATTATTAAAAGTTTATATCATGGGCAGGTTAACTCATATAAATAGAATTTGGTTAAACTTACAAACTAGTAATATTGTTGTTTTGGTTCTAATTTCCCAGTCCAAATCAGCACAACATAATTGAAAAACAATACCGACCAAACAACCCACTTTTTTGAAAATTAAATAACTTTAACAAGCAATACAGGGTGTTTCATAATATATGCGCAGGACTTCAGGACGTGATAGCTCGTCCAAAAATATGAAAAAACGTTTCTATTAACTTACCCTCTAAAATGCACCGTTTTCGAGATACAGGGTGTTGAAATTGAAAAAAAAAAAATCTACGCCACTGGAAAAAGTACGGTTTCAGACGCCCATTTGAACCGCCAATGTTTTCTACACAAAAAAAGGCACTCTTGGTCATACGCTCTAAAGTCGACCGTTTTCGAGAAAAATCAAATTTTGTTTATTTCCAAAAATTGACCATGTATTTCAACATTAAAATTTAATAATAGAAACGTTTTTTCATATTTTTGGACGAGCTATCACGTCCTGAAGTCCTGCGCATATATTATGAAACACCCTGTATAAACAAACAACAATAAGTTGTGAAAAATAAGCCTTACTAAACAATATAAACACACTGCAAGTCGTTGAGAATAATTAATATTGATGTTCTAATGGTGGTTTTAATTGTCAATAAAATGATGCATATGCAACTAACAATACAAGAAAGTAATATTAGTTGCCGAAATGTCAGTAATGTTTAACCAAAGTACAATTTTAGCTAAAATTAGAAAAAATATTGTATGTAACACGTTACGAAATGCTGTTATATGTAACTTGTTCATGTTGCGGAATCTCGCTCTGCTCGCCCAGCAAATTTTTACTCGTTACATAAAATAAGGCACATTTACCATAGTTTATAGATAATCTATAAACACTTCCTTATTTGGATTATATACCATATAGTTTTCGTATTCCTCTATCTAGAGTGAGATTTATCTTAAATCTACTAAAAATGAAAGAAGGGACCATTCCTAAACCAGTTGTGTTACAATATTTAAAAAACTTACATGAATTTTAATCATTCTAAAATATGACGTCACCGCCACAAACTACATTTCTATTGAGCCAACCTGTTTGTCATGAATAGCACAACGCTCGCGCGTAATAATACATTGGGGCGTAGGAATGCTGTCATTCTGTAAAACTGCAACAGGTTACAGGTTGTTCGGCCGGCTTCGATGAAGAATGATTTGAAATATTTTTTTAGTGGTAAGTACAGTAAATTTAATATTTTAAAAAGCTACATTTGGTCAGAAATTTAGTGGAAAAGTCGGATTGTTATTTGATCGAATTAGATATTAATTTGATTTAAGTGTGCGCGAATTCTGCAAAGTGTAAAAAGTGCGGAGAAAAAATAGTTCCCGATGATCATCTCACTTTTTGGATATTACAAAGAAAATTGCTAAATTTCCAATTCCAATAGAGTTACGGTAAAGTATTCTTGTTAAAGTAGTTAATTTATAAATAATACAAGTTAATATTATATACATAAATTTTGCAATTTGTATTGACACCTGTCATGGTGTGTATTCTTAAACAGTCTCAGAACCTGGTTCTTGTAAAGAGACAGGAATAGAATTTTCATCCTCATTCAACTGTGTCTCAGAATCACATTTCAGATTTAGTAGATGCTTTTTTTAGTTACGTTTATGCAAAAAGTATTTATTTTATATTTTACAAAATTGAAATAATCTCCAGTAAATTAACTTAGTAGATAAACCTGGCTCATAGCCCTCAGAAAGTCTAGATACCGCTTGGCGTATACTGTCAATACAAAAAAATGACCCCATTCAAGCTTGTCGCCATGTTAGGTAAATTTATGTTTTGGCTACACTGATTTTTAGTTTGTGTGTTCTGTAATACGTGAACACCGATAATCTGCACTTTGTTATTAGTTATAAGTGAGTGAGACGCACAATTTCTAATTTCAAATTAAGAACAAAACTTTGACAAACCTATTTGATTTTCCTAGATCTGTTCAGACAGGACCGGTTTTATAAAATTTCTCGTTCTTGAAATGTTATTTTTACATGGTTATATATTATTGGATAAGTGGTTTGTGTACATATTGCTATGAGAATTATAGAGAAATTCAGTGAGATTTATGTAATATAATTCAAATTACAAGTAAACCATCTGTTCCTGTTTGGCAATATGGAGAAAATACCTACTTCAATGTCAAATGTACTATTTAAAAGAATGTGATTGTTAACCGGTCATTTATTTATATTATATTATGAAAATAAAAAATCGAATTTTTTAACTAGGGAAAGATATACTTACATCGGTAACAAGGTATTTTTAGAAAAACTAATAGATTACTCCTATTCCTATAGTTTATTTGAAAATGAATAATAGCAAAATTATATAAAAATATGGACCTTTGGCATAAAAACTGTGCTACCAAGCATTTTCAAATAAACTATAATGATAATTTGATTTAATAGAGCGAGTATAAGATCTCACCTGTTAGAGAAATTGAGGCATAGGGAAGAGATTATGAAGCAGGTAAGCGAAGTCATTGCAAAAGATAAATATATAGAAGTTATTTTAAAAATTTGATAAAAACTAGTGGAACAAGAAATGGAGTTGTCGCTATCGGAGATCCAATCAGCAGAAAGTAAAAAAAAACTTTAGGAATGTTGGAAAAGGGCACAGCAATAGGCCCAAAACAATTCCTTGGTTTTTTAATAAATATAATCTGAGATGCAAAAAATACTGCTAGAGTGGAGAAGCAGTATTGTTCTTATGTAGAAAACCCAGGGACATACAGCAGTGCACTAACCATAGGCGAATATTCACTAAATTATACAAGAGTCCCATCTCGATTTTATTTTTAAATATTTTTGAGAATACCTATTATTATTTGTTACATTGAGTTTAATAAAACCACAGATTTCGAATGTATTGAAAGTTATTTAAAAAGTACCTCTATAAATATATAGAAAATGTGTATATGACTAACTGGTTTTATTAATCTTTTTTTGGGGTAGGTAAATATATTTTGAAAAATTTACAAACTTCTTTTGAATAAAAGACAAAATATTTCTGTTTTTATTAACTGAACAATATTTTATACGAACATAATATATACCTATTTAAAAGAAAATATTACATTTTACAAGTATCGCATATTTATATGAAATAACTAACTCAATAAGAAAGAATTAAATGAAACAAATAAATAAACAATGGATATGAAAAATTGCTATAACAATTTAATCCTTAGATAAACTTATTCTTACATATTGCTTTAATCAATTTATTTACTA